TCTCTATTGCCTCTGCCTGTTTGCCCGGTAGAGGTAAGCCATGTGCGTGTGGGATATGTTCTGTCCCAGTCACTACCAGCAGAAACCTTTCTTGGGTTTTGTGTGAGGTTGTGTGATCGAGTGGACCAGGAAGGTCAAAATTATCAGCCTTTTCATCAGCTGATTTGCAAATGATGTTCCTTCAGTGGTGAGTTTTGGGCCCAAGCCCTGGGAATGATGCTTGTGCTGTTAGAGAGCACCAAGACAAAGTGTTCCACTTGTCACTTCTTAGCTGGGAGCCTGAAATGGGAAGTTGCCGCAGAGTTCAGGATGGGCATCTCCCCCCGGGGCTGCTCTACCATGAGTCCCTCGACCCCAGAAGAGCCCCGCTCCAGATAAGCACGCCGCTTGCTGCAAGAGGCCACCTTGGTGTGAGAGTCTGCAGGGTGTGGGTCTGGTGTATAAACCTTCCCCGAGGCTTGGGAAGGGGAAACCAAGATTTTCTGGTGTCGCTGAATGATCTGTAACTGAAGCTCCAAAGGGAGAACAATGTTTCGTGTTGCTCAATATTGCTGTTACTGCTCGGTGTTTCCAGAGCTCCTTGTTGAAGTATTTAATGGCATGTCTCCGAAACAGGTAACATTTCAGAGTTATCTGTGGAACACCTAGCTGGTTTTGTCTTTTGTTGAGAGGCTTGTACTAAATCTGTGTAAATGTATATAACAAAAAAAGTCCAAAAAAAGTCTTTAGGAAGGGAATGTATTTACTGAACAAGCAGGCAGATTTGAGCCTGCTGGCCAGTGAGGATTCCCAAATGAGATGGATATGAGGATTTCTCAGTCTGGAAATCTGCCCCAGTATTTGTATTTAATGCTGATAAGTTCACCCCCAGCATAATGTAGCAGCATATATTTTATGTTTAATGCTGACTTAATCTTGTGTTTGTATTAACTCACAGAAGCAATTTTAACTTATTGGCATAAAACTAGGCAGGTTTATAATGGTTGAGTGTTCATCTGTGTAATGTTTAAGCAGAAATTTTTCAGCCTGAAAATGGCAGTGTAGAAATGAAATATTTATGGGTTTTAAAATGTCCATTCTGAAATGTTAGGTCAAGGTCTTACCACAAAATGCAAAATTTCTCATAAATTGATTGCCTGACTTGTTCTTGGTATTACTTGAGCTAGAAGCTAAAACGGCTGTATGACTCTTCTCTTAGTTGCTAACCCTGTTCTTACTTGGCCTATGACAGATCTCTAGCAACTGATGAAACGGGGTGTCTCGGGTACAGACTGGACTGGAATAGCTTTCGGGCATGCCACAATAGGATGAGTTGGGCTCCCTGTGATGACAGAACTTCAGGTTTTCAATCAAAACCTCTCACATGAAAATAATGTAAATTTTTTTTTGTAGCTGAAAATAACTGCCGAAATCGCACTGATTTCGGTTTGAGATACCTACAGGTAATGTTACTCTCTCATCTGCAAATCTGTTTTGTCTCAAAATGAAATAAGAGGTGAATTAAAAATATTGTACAAGTTCTCTGATCTTTAGTATAATATGTAAATTTTAATGTCAAATGCTTTAATAAGCACCTTCTCTTCTGAATAGACACAGAACTACCTCTGTTCACTGAGTCCCATTTCTGATGGATTTAGGATTTGAATTCAATAAGATTACTTCTCAGGAAGAGCTTTGTGACCGAGTGGATTTTGCCATTTAAGTATTGCAGGTTGCGACCTAGAGTTATTAAATCACTTAAAACTGGATGCAATGCAAAGCTGTGAATTGTATCCAATTTTTTTTTTTAAACATACAAATTACACTATATAGAGAAGAGCCCACAGTAAGAGCTTCTATGGTTTTGAACTTGAGCTGTTGCTGATAAAGCATTTTGGATATTGGTTTTCTTAGAAGCTTGCCAAATATTCTTACGCTTCATTTCTAACTGTAACAGAAATCCATTGAAATGTATTCTGGTGGATATGTTCGTGAAATGTAGAAAAGAAAATTTCCACTGTCTTAATGACAGATGAAAATGTCCTAGTATTTCTTGTATTGAGAAGCTTTAAATATGCTTCGAAGTTGATGGTAGTATGTTCCAAAACAGTTTAGAAATGTGAAAAGTAGTATGTGGTTTCTTGGGCTCAGGTTTTCTTTTGATCTATAACGATTCAACACCATAGCTGGATGTTGAGTAGGCATCGGAGGGGAGTGTAAGAGAGCTGTAATTCTTACCGAAGACGTGCTCTTTATTAGCAGAACAAATAGTGGTGAAGTATAATACTTTCCATCCTTTGTGGGGAGGTAGGCAGAGGGGAAATAACCCCGTCTGTCTCAGGGATCAGTTACTTTTCCTTACTAGCTTGCCGTCTGTTTTCAAGGAGAAATGCTTATTTAAAACACAGAACTTGGGAACAGAAAAATAACTAACAGCCTCTTCAGCATAAGTCACAGATCAGACATTACTAGTAAACTATTGAAAAATAAGTCAGTATTAGACCACAAATGGGAAACAATAAATAAATGAGGCAGAAAAGACTGTTTGGCATGATACTTTCTCTTGAAGGAATGATTTGTATGGTTTCACTTCTAATAAGTTATTTTGTCCTGTAGCATTCTTTGTTTCCTTCTGGGTTTTTAGTGCCGTTTGCTGGCGTGCGATTGCTGCCGGGGATGTTGGTGCTCTTTAACCCCCTGCAGCACCAGGCTCTTTCCGTGGTGCTGGGAATGGGCCGTGGCTCAGGCACCCCGGGACGGCATCCTCGGTGCGGGCCGGGGCTCGGGCACCGCAGGTAGCTCTGCCATGCCGGGTGGTTTGTGGTTGGGGTTTTTTGGCTTGTGTTCTTTCTTTTTTCTTCTCCCAGGTCGTACTGCTGATCCAATACTTGACAGCCATTTTGGTGAAGAAATTTTTCGTAACATCCAATCTAAACCTCCCCTGGTGCAATTTGAGGCCATTTCCTCAATGTATCTATTTCTTGAAAATAACTCCTTATGTAGCAGTACGCAGTTCTTGGGCTGGGGAAGAACCCCTACCTTTTGCGTGGGTCATGGAGTCTCCGTGCGTGGTTTGGATTAGGAGATAAATCGGTCAGTACCTGGATGTTGAAGTAACTTTTTTTAACTGGGTGCATTTCTTGTGAATGATGTCATAGGTGCCTGTTACATTTGTAAATATATCGGGGTTTTGTTTTAGCTGTTGTAGGACGGTTTTTATTGGCATCTTCATTGTAGTGAGCCACCAATGAGATCTTTGTGCTGGGTTCTCTAAAACCAGGGCAGCAGTTGCCCTGCGTCCAGATGAAATAATTTTCTAAACAAAGCAAAAAATGCGAGGGAAGGGTAAGATGCACGTGAGCAACGTGAAAAGTGTCAACAATTGCTGGCACAATTTATTTTTGAGGGTAGCAGTTTGGTGTCAATAAAATAAGTGAAAGAAAGTGAGGGGAAGAGAGAGACGAAAGGGAAAGGTAAGAGAAGCAGATGGAGGGGAGGAGGATGGCAGAGGGATGACTCGGGTCGGCCGTCAGCACAGAGCTCTGCTCTCAGGGCTACCTGGCTGCTCTCGGCTGTGGAGCACCAAGCTGTGTCTTGCAGCTGATTCTCATTTTGCCAGTAACTATACTTTTGCTATGTATTGTTCTTAATTTTGATAATGTACCCTTAGTGTGTGTACGTAGAGCTAAACTTCAGCTGAGGACCCTGTTACCCGATCTGTGTGCACTGCTTTGAGAACCCTTGTGAAATGCCAGCGAGGAATCCCCACTCAGACTCCTGTTTTTCTCCGTGTTCTGGAAAGGGCTGCTTCCTCCTTTGTGAACTCATGGGGGTGAGTAACTCCCACATGATTGCAGGGTTTTGTTAGCAAGAACATACTTTGAGATAAAGCCGTTAACCAGATTTCTTGCTAATTTTTTGCTCCGAGTTCCCCATCATAGACATGGGAGTGAGTGGATGCTGCAGAATTTCTGTCCTGATGTAGAGCCTGTCCCCCCATCTTGGTGTGAATAGTCTCTCTCTGCTCCAGTTTCTAGTTTCTTTATAAATTATACATTTGTGTGGCTCTGGCTTTTCATAAGTGTGGGATTTGGATTTTTTAAAATTATTTTTTGTTTTGCCTGCTGTTCTGAATTGTAACAAGCACCCTGGGGAAGTGGAGATGCAGGTGGCCTTCTTCAGACAAGCAAGGGAGTGCTGAACACTTGATGGAAGTACTGTAAGCCACGTTACTTTTTTGTTTTCCTTCCCTGGGATGAGGGAGTTCAGAAAAGAGCATGAAGATGTGAAATAATAGTTGTCAAGCAATATTTTAAACTGCCCGTGGTGCTTAGTCATTGGTTCAATGCAGCTTTTTGGTGGCAGTGTTGGTAAGTTTGGATTTTACGTGTTGGTGGTGCCCCTTGTGGCTACAGAAGCGTGTCTGAGTGTCACCTCTGCCAGGCTGGTACTGCAGCAGCAGCTCTGGGCCGGACCAGGAAGGGGGAACCAAGTCATGATTTCTCCTAGAGTAAGAATATCCAGGATAACTAACACATGAAGGAAACAAAACAACAACAAAAAAGGGACTAAACTTTTAGTTATGGTTTGGTTGGTCACTTGGGTGTGTTTTCCCTTGTAATGCTTTTAGTTTTAATATTAGAGAGGACATACTATATTCTAACATTGATCAAGGACCCTGAATAGCATATTCTCATGTTTTAATAAAGTATTTCAGTTGGATGATGATTAATTTGAGTAGCAGAAGTCCAGTGATATCCATTTCCATGCTCTATAAAAGGAGAATGGGCTCTGGAAATAATAATAAAAATAGTAACGTAAAAATCTAAGTTCTGTTCTATTTAAAAAAAAAAAAAGAAATTCAATCAGTCATGTCTTGCTTAAAATAGTCTGTGTTAAAGAGCAGATAACAAAGCTTTGTTGAAACCTGTCAGAAGTTATAGTAGTGGTAAAATTTCAACACAAGTGAAAATTGATTTGGCTTCTACATTAAGTAAGCATTTTATTGTCTGTCTTTGCAGATGAAGACTGTTAGTGTTGCCTTAGTTTTGTGCCTAAATGTTGGTGTGGACCCTCCTGATGTGGTGAAAACAACTCCCTGTGCCCGTCTGGAGTGTTGGATTGGTAAGTCTGGAGAACTTCCAAGCTCTGGCTAACTATTAGTCTTAGAAATACTGATCTGTAGCGTATATAGTAATCTTAAAGCTGTGTGTTTCCTGGGCTTAAAACTGGGGTGAACAAAAGGAAATCTGGGATCTGATTTCACTGTGTCTACATGAGTTAATTAAGCATCCAGTAGCAACTGCTGCCACAGGTCATCTTGCCTGCTTTATTCTAAAATGAGATAGCACGGAGGAAAAAAAGCTGTTAATTAGCTACTTAGCTTTCTCTTACTTGTTGTAGATTTATAAGTATCTAAGGAAATCTCTGAGCAGTAACATCTTCAGACCACAGTGGTCTGCAAAGGTTTAAAATGACCCTGCATCATACAATAGAGAAATAAGTTTTTGTAAAATGCATGGACTTTACTGCATGATAAGATGACTGCTCTGGGGCTATTTTAATTGGGATCATGAATTCAGAAGACCTGGAATTATTCCCAAGGATGTCTTGCCAGCAGTTCCGACACATGGGCTTGCTACTTTGATACAGTGTTGGACTAAATTCCTAGGGTTTTTTGTTAGGAAATGAAAAGTTCCCTTGGTTTTGGAGATCAAGTCTGATTATCAAGATGAGACAAATCTGAAGTAATATTAGAAGGAAATACCTCGCATAAGAAAGCTTTCTAAGGGAGATTTGTTTTTTATCTGGGAATTGAAGATGTTCAGTCTTCAGCAAGTAATGTGCAGAGCACCGTAATCCTGAATTCTGGGGCTTATGATAGGCAGCAGAAGAAAATTAATCATTGCACAAACTGAATTTCTTTAAAAACTTTCAGAACATCTCATTTCTAACCTTGCCTTACCTGCTTTATGAATCATAGCATCTCATTTTTTTTAACCTAAAAATGCTGATGACTTTAAAGCAGTTACAAAGCCATGAGCATGCACTAACAAATGCATCTATTCAGTGGAGAGAACAGCTCTCATTTCTCATTGATACACGAGCAGGGAGCAAAGAGAATGAAGACCATTGCAGAGTCATTAAAATAAAGTTATTAGTGATTATCATCAACGAAGAGAATTTTGAATGCAGTTTTTTAATTAAATTTTTAGTGTGTATATATACACAAGTACTCATTTCCATTTCTAGCCAACTTTAAATTTCTGGAAAAGGTAATTGCAAAAATATCTGCTGCTTTTTTTCTTCTATACAACAGTCTCAAGAGAAGCTAATGGTGTGCATTGTGGAAACATAATGTCTTTGCCAGATGTGCAAGAAAGTGTGGAAATAATTTTGGTGCAATTGCTGCTGTTTACAACTGATCTGTGAACTCCGGTAACAAACGGCCATCGCAGTCTCAGACAAAAGCAGGTTGCAGTTCTCACTGTACCTTCCAGATGCACCCTTAGAACATTTGAAGTGTTTTGTTTTTCTCCAGAATTAAGCCTTAGCTGACATCAGTGCTGCAGTGTCAACCTGGCACCGCTTTAGGCACGGAAAGCTTCCTGCCGTGATTATACCGAAGGTATCTTGGCCTATATGTGTGCAGGCCTTCGCTAGCCTTATATACAAGCTCAACAAGGGAGGCTGAAAGCTCATGTATAGGCTGTGGTGGCATGAACTATATTTAGGAAAATAATTTGTTGCCATTGTTTGGCTCTTGGAATGACACCAGTGTACTTTATTTTTGTATAAAGGCTTTTGTTAATAATGCTGATGACTCTGAAGGTGCTCCATAGTCCACAAACTACATTCCTCTGCTGTCAAAATGCATGTGAAATGTTTTTAATTTCTTTTTCTGAAGTTCAGTTTGGTCCTTTTGAAGGACTAAAAGAAAAATCTGATGTGTTTATGCTATTTTTTGTTTCCTTTTTTTTTTAATTTGAGCCGTAGCTAGTGGCATGTTAACTACCAAAAGATGTTATGAGGCAGTGTGAATACTTTTGGGGGATTACGGTTCAACATCTCAAGGGTATCTGCTCGCCTTAACTAGCAAGGGGACTGCTGCAGTTCAGAGCAGCAGAGTGCTGCGGTGCGTAGAGCCGTTCCTAAAGGCACGTTGGCGAGGGCTGCGGCTGCAGGGTCCGCGGTGGGGAGTGGGTGCTGGCTCCGTCCTGGCCAGGCTTCTGGAGCAACAGCTCAGCTGAGACAGGGGATAGGCTTCTTGTAGTCTGAGCAGACGGTTCACTACTGTTTGTGTGTGTTTTGGAAAAATGTAAATGGTATACTCACCATTTAGTGTACTTTCTACCAAAGTACACTAAAATTTAAATAAGATCCTAGCTTTTATTCATTTAAGAAAAATAACTTGTAAAATCCTGCTTTTATCCTACTTTATTTTATTTTGTTTCCCCACAGTGCAAGGTAGAATATTTGTAAACATTTTAAAAAAACTCCTTCATTGATTTGGTTAAATGCTTTTAAAATAATTTATATTAAATTGTAGAATATTAGCTTCTAGTTTTTTTTGAAATTTGTTAATAGTCTCAATTATATGGCCATGGGGTTTTTTTTGCATAAAGCGCATAAACTGAAGTTCTATCAGTATGTATGTATGGTGATAATTATGTAGTGATAAAATTAACTTCTTCAAAATTACAAATGGCATATAATCTCTGAAGCAGGAAGCAATGGAAGTAAATGAAGCAGGATTTTGCATTCATCAAGAAAAATGTTTGTCATCAAATATTTAACCAATTTAAATTTTTGTCATTATTTACTATAGAAACCTTTTTTTCAATATTAAAGGAAACAAATGTTATGCCTCGCCTGTCTTTCAAAACAAAATTGTATTTATTACCTTAGCAAGAGAAATCTTTTTCCAAATTTGACAGTCTTTAATTTTTTTTAATTTGTACTTGAGTGAAGAATTTGGGGATAATTTTTGGGTATATGCACCCAAGTAAATTCCATGGAGAATGCAATGTTTATGAATTTGAAATTGAATGCATAAAGGAACCTGCATGAAAACATCATTAAACGATCTTTCTTGCAAGCATAACACTGGAGAGCGAACGTGCAGAAAGCTTTTTGGCTTCTTCCTTCTGCAGAGCAGGTGGTGTCCATGCTCTGGTGGAGACTTTGGTCTCCCAGGCTGTAGATCTGGATTTTACATAAACCTAATGTGGAGTAGTGAAAAGTTTAAATGTGCATGGAATTGGAAATAATTTCTGCTTCTTGTCAAGCTGAGCGGTTCCGCTGTGGTCAAAAATACTAATTTGTATTCTGTTTCCTAGATCCTCTGTCCATGGGCCCTCAAAAAGCTCTGGAAACCATTGGTGCAAATTTGCAGAAGCAGTATGAAAACTGGCAGCCCAGAGTAAGTATTCCCCTCTGCTGCTATAGAAACAACACTTCTTCGTGATAACGTTCCACCTAGACTGAAAACTAAGATACGTGTCTGCTACGTGGCGTGGTGGTCTTGTAGCATTTGTTGCTTCCTTCATCTATTATTGTGAATAAATTCTTGCAAGCTGCCAAGCTTCCTATCTTTCTAGCTGGTGCCCCTCTTGGCTGGCACTTTCTGTGATCATGCCTGGGGTATTTGTTTAAAGTAATAAGTCCTACAGGGATTTTATTTTTAAATTTTATTTATATTCGTCTGACTTCATTGTATTTTTGAGATGTTAGGAAGTTTTTCATTATGAGTTTATACTTTCTTCTGTTGTAAAAATATGTGCTTGGCCTCAGCTGGTTCAAAACTATGTGTCCCAGCACTCCTCAGAACTGGATTTATCCTCTGGAACAAGAGAATGTTGAACAGTTAGCACCTGAGGAAGGCTTTTGGTTTTGTTGTAAAACGTAATTTCAGAGCTTTGTAACTGCTAATTCTAACTAAAGTATAATGTGTGTATACATTTTTGAAATGGAATGTTGTGGGTAGTAGTAACACAAAGCAGGAGTTAAACAAACATGCCGGCTACTGACTATTTCCTGTTTTGTAACATCTCAGGCTTTCACACTGGGGAAATGTTTTGTTTCTGGGTATTTCAATGTCTGTAGTCTCCTGTGTCTCTGTAAATAAAATACAGAGAGTGCTAAAGAATGAAATTTGAAGTCTGCAGAATCCTCTTTGCTGTTAATGTTCCCCAGTATGTTCATGTCCTTATCTGTATGCTCTGGGCAGTTTGGGTCAAAATATTCCTCTTCAAAGTACCTGGACTACTGACTACTAAATCATAAATTTATCATTATAAGTATGTAATGTGGAACCCAAACAGAAGTAGTAACTTCATTGAATGAACCGACCTGTAGATTTGCTTTTAATATTTTTTTTTCCTTATGTGCATACTAACCTGGTCTTCATTTTTTAAGGAGACATTGTTTCTTGTCTTCTTTTAAAAGTGTCTTCAGCAATAATAATAATGTAGGTTTTTGTCAGCACCAGGACTATATTCTCTGTTTCTAACACTGCTCACTACCTTATTTAGCGTATAAATAATCTACCGGGTGTCTCTGTGATGTCTGATAGTATGTAGTTTAAGAGTATGGTCCGCAATTGGAAAAGTTACTGGTGTTTTCCTGTCCTCTGTGTAGGGTGACTGGTTGAGAAGGCATTTGTGTTGGCAGTGCCCTTAGGTATTTTTAGTCAGCCTTGCTATTTAAACTGTGATGGGTTACATTCATTTACTTGTTTCTTTATAATTTATAAAATCAATATTATATTCAGAGCAATTTGAATGTTAAACACAGCTCGTAGGGGTTCTTTCCCTCTTGTCTTTGATCCTTCCCTGCCCCCATATGCAGGGTCAACTGACTGGAACCATTTTTATTGTGTAGTAAAAGCTGAATGTACTACCTGAAGGAGACTTACTGTGTTCAGTGCTGAAATGTTTACATTACTGAATCTGTGGGTATGCTTTTTTCTGAAGTGTTTTGTAAATATATTTATATCAGAAGGACTTGACTTGAAACATATATGGTGTATATTTAAGACAAGAGAATTTACTTTTTGTGTTTTTCCTCTTGGTACATTGACAATTTTTTTTTAATCTCTAGCAGCCCAAGAATTTGGCAGAAAATTCAAATAATGTCTGAAAACAAGTAGGAGAGCAAACCATGTTGATGCAAAGGTGAAAACAAACCTTTTCCTCTGCTCTTTAATAACAGAGTCAGTATTACTGAGGAATGAGGGACAGGCGTCTAGAAGCAGCAGGTAACCTGTGTGGGCCGACCTCACGCTGCCTTGTAGAGTTTGCACAAAACATGAGGCAATTACTGAGCTCAGATGTTTGTGTGCAAGGTGCCTGGTTCTTAACAGTAAATCACAGCCCTTTGAAACATTGCAAAGCTAAACACGTACCAGTTTATTGCACTCTACAGGGCTCTTGAGTTTTCTGCAGTAATAAAGAGAAGTTGATGTGCCATCTGCAATAAAACAATAGGAGCATTATTGAATTTCCTAGACCTTTCATATAAATACTAATACATCTAGTTTTGTCTGTTTCTCAGTGTTTTGGAATGGTTGAAGAATTGATGGAAGGAAGACAGGTTGGGGAAAATGAGGCAGTCTGGAAAAAAAAAAAGACCAAATCATTAAAATCTTCTGAAATAAGAGGTATTCCGGGGCTGTCAGTGTGGGTCCTTACACTAGGAAGTGCCTGTGGTCAGTATCTTATTGTGAATGCACAAATGGTGCTAACAACTGGTAAAAAATCCTGCCACATAGCTACCAGTGCAGTCCTTGTCTGCTTGTAATTGTGGGATGATGTTCACATACAGGCCTGTTTGTGTTAAATACAAATAGCTGAGGTGAAAAAGCCTTAAAAGGGGTAAGCATGAAAATTCTTTGTGTCTGGAAGCTCCCAGGCTGCACAGCTGATGCATATTTCCTTCCAGGTCTTATTGAGCCCCTTTCTAAATAATTTACCAGCTTGCCATTGCTTGAAGTATTTGTTCTGATTAAATTTAAGGCTTTGCTTTATTGTTGTGTAGCTACATAAATTTGTGTGCTGCGGGAGTAAAAAACACTTCAGCTGTTGTTTCATCTGCAAAATACTGCAGTTAAACAATATTCAGTCATTTCATTGCAATTCTCAAATGAAAATTTTACTGGGGGAGAGAGTAGGAGATGGCAAAGCCGTACACTTTATCTGTCTTTATGAAGAATTTCCTGAACAAGTAAGAGTGCACACAATCCAGTGCAAAATAATTTAGGTGCTAGTGGAAAAAGTGGAAAGAAAAAAAGACAGCTCTTCTCTGATATTGCCTTGGGTCATGGGTTTTGAGTTTCACTGGGCATGGAAGAGGTTAAACCTGAGGGTAATCTGGAAAGCAGGCTCAATTACAGGGGATAAAAGGGGCTGCTTAAGCAGCTGAGAATGAAAGGAGGAAAAGGTAGTGAAAGTTGAGAGCACAGGACCCCATAATGCCCAGCCTGACTGGGGGGGAAATCCTTCCCTGGCCAGGGCTTCGGGAAGGGCTGGTGGGGCTGAGCAAGGCTGGGGCTGAGCAAGGCTGGGGCTTGCAGGGTCAAAGGGTTGGCAGGCAGAAGGAGAGCCTTCAGCTGAGACAGCACGTTGTAGCGCTTTCATTGCCCACAATGAAATACTTTAAATTTCTACCGGAGATTCTTCGCATGCTCTGTATTTAAAATATTTAGATAAGAAATTGATCACACTGAAATGGTGTTTCTCTGCTTCTGGTCTTCATTTATTACCCTTGGCAGAATACTGCCTGTGTTAGGTGCAGCAGTAAGTGGCCAGCGAGAGCACTCCTTTGCTTGTGCTGGCGGTAGGTAGCAAATATTTTTCCTGTTGTTTGGATGCAAATTTAGTTTTCTTGGTAGCATTGCATGTTATGCCGTTCAAAAGGCAGGAACTTTCCTTAGTTTAAAAGTCAACAGACTTTGTTCCAAAATAGGGATAACAGACGGCGAATTCCAAGTGCTGCTGCAGTGAGATGGTTTATGGAGATGCAGTAGGTAGTGGGGATTTTTATGGGCAGAAGTTACTGTTGCTTAAGTCCCAGTTTACATCCATTTATCAGCAGGGGCTGGGACTTGGGTTCTTTGCTGTGACATTCTGCAGAGGTGGAGCAGAGGGGTTAGTGGTGAGGATGAAGGTGTTACTCAGCTTTCCGCTGCTCCTCTGCGCAGCACGCCGTTCCTTTTCTTGTGAACAGATTTGAGCGCGCCGGTTTTTCTGCATCCTCTTGGCTGGAGTTCTCTGAACTGAGCTACAGTACTTCTCTGTAAAAAGCACCAGTTACCTCTTGTAAAATGGTCATTGTGTACAGTACGGTACAGAATGCTGCGAGATGAGGTCAGTCTGTCATTGCTGGCTTCGTTCTTAGAAGGGTGCCAGACTTCTCCCTGCCCCCCCCAGTAATGGCCATCTCATTACTTGGCTTCTAGCCTTCCCCAGGCAGTAAAGTTTCCTTCGTTTCCATTCCTGTGTATATGCCTTTGAGAATGGGGCTGTGTAGCCAAAGGCAGAACTGTGAATGATGCACAGTTTACATAATTCAGGATTTGGTATGAAGTAGTCTAGACTATATGCTTATTAAATTTGCATGAAATGATAGAATTTTTTTTGTTGGTTATGCCTTTTGACCGGTTTCTTTCTTTAACTCTAAACTGACCAGAATATTCAAAGGACTTTTTCTTCCTTTCTGTCATCTCGCTCGATAATTTTGTCGCTTCTGTTGTGATTCCTACTAGTCCAGCTGAATCCCAATGGCACTCCTACGCCAGGTGCCTTTTGCAATACTGTTCTTTATTCTCTGACAGGAACTTTCCTGCCACTGGAAGGTCAAAACCTGCTGTCGATAACTCTTCCTGAGTAGAGGTGAGGTTAAGAAAGCTGTCTCAGAGACACTTAGATTCCTCCATTGCTCATGAAGAGCATGCTTAACACTGGGGGAGCAGGACCTTGTCTCAGTGAAAATGAATGTTTTAAGTTTTTTAAAATCTTCCTTTCCCTGAGGAGTTCGTGCCACGTGGTGGTCTTTGCGCAGTTAGCTGTGAGACCGCTGGAAAACAGATGTTTATATCTCCCTCGGGTGTGGTTTGGTAAGGGTTCCTTTTCCCCCCCCCCCCCCCTTTTTTTTTTTTAAATTGTACTCTTGCAGCACGCAGGAGCCCTGGTTGTGGAGGAGGCTTTGGCTGGGGCAGGTGCTGTGCAGATGAAATGGAAACCACTGCTGCACAGCTCGCAGTCTGAAACAAGACTGATGCAAACAAACGGGAGTGTACAAAGAGGCAGTAAAACAATAGCAGTCAGTGTGATGAGGTCTTGGCATTACAGAAGCCTGGCTCTAAAAGTGTGTGTAGATGTTACGGCGTGGTGCAATATAGAAATAAGAAGCCAGTGGTTATAG